CGTTTCGCCTATATATTCTTCCCCGCATGTTTTACATGTTAGCAAATAAATTGTGCCTGATCTCATACAATCTCCCTCTTTTCCGTTGGGGCAGATCATACAGTTGTTGGTGTTGCACAATCGATCATAGAGTCTATTGCGGATCAGCTGATGGCGTAGGGTGGGAGGTGGGGTTTCGATAATTACCACGGAATTTTCAAGACCGCATCTTTTCAGGCACCTTTTAACCGCGCTACTAATCTCGTTTGATATAAATGGTAATTTGAAGGGGACTCTATTTAGGTGCGGAGTATTGTTCTTTTGTGACCTAATTCCACTTTTTGAATATTCCCTAGTGGCAAATGCTTTGTAGCCGTTGGAAATGGCGATCTTTCGTACCAAGTCTAATGATTCGTTCCTTTCCTCCTCTCCTGTGCACACACTTTTAGCTGTTCGAAACATGTTTTTAATTAGCGATTTTTTCATGTGTGAAGGATGAGAGGAGAGGTAATTGACCAAAATGTTCTTGTTACTTGGTTTTCGATACCACTTTGTACTATAGCCACTATCCAAAAGCTTTACTTGGGTATTTAGGAATGGAAGCCAGCCCCCGTTTGGACTTTCTCGCGTAAATCTGATATGCTCTGACTGTCCGTTCAACACTTCAAAACATTTGTCCATTTCCTCTTGTGTGGAACAGACAATGAAACAGTCATCTATATATCGGCAGTAGAGCAATGGGCGGTGAACGAGAATTGGAGCTTCCACCTTATACATAAAAGCGATGGCAAGACTAGGTGCTAAGCGTTGACCCATGGCTAACCCCCTGAGTTGTGTAAAGTATTTTCCCGACCACCGAAAGATTGAACAACTAAGACATTGTTTTAGGAGGGTCATTAGTTGTTGAATTGTGAAGCCATACATGTTTACTTTTTGTTCATTTTCAGTTAAAAGTTCGAAAATGGCTTCCATAGCCGAGTCATTTGATACGTTTGTATAGAATGAGCTAACATCAAATGACTCCATTACGTGCGAGTTGTTAGGTTTCGCGCAACGTAGGTGGTCAAGGAACATTTTTGTATTGGGTAGGTGGGTTGGTATGAATTTGAGCACCTGAGTAAAAATGAGGTTTAGAAACCACGTTATTCTATCCGTTGGTCCGCCTATACAACTGATGATGGGTCTAACCTTGTATGTTGATGGATCGGTTGACACTAGATCATCAATAGATGTAAGTTTATGTGTTTTTACGAGAAGGTATAGGACCGGACAAATAGGATTATTGCTTTTGAGTCGAGAAATAACTGAAGTTTCCAAACCCGCTGCACTTGCCGTGTTGACCCATTCTTTGTTTAATTTTTTACATTGGAGTTTATATTCTTTCTCAGAGGATGGGCGATAGAGGGAGACATCCTGAAGATGTTTCTCCGTTATATCGACATCCAGCTGATTTGAAATTACTACAAATTCCCCACCTTTATCACTTACGGACAAACGGATAGTTTTTGATCTTACGAGCTCCCTGATTTGTGACAAACCTTGTTTTTGTTTGTGTGTCAGATTGGAGCTTATTTTTCTATGCCGAAAGTGGTTGAGTATTTGCAGAATTTCGTTCGAAAAAACGCGAAAAGTAGGGTCGAGTTCGCTGTTTGGTTTTTCTTCCTTGTAAAAAGCTTGTGGGAAGGGAATGGGTGGTAGTGTCCCTGGTTGTTTTTCATTACCTAACCCTTCTAATCTAGCCTTGTAGCGCAGTTGATTTTGAAGTTCTTGTAGACTGCATACGATCCTGCGCAGGGTTAATTTAGAAATGGGTTGACTAGGTGCAAAACTTGGACCCAATTCTAATAATGAGCGCGCCTCATACGGAAGCGTTACACCACCTAACACCTATGTGATAATTATTTTTTTAAGCTCGCATGTCATGTAGTCTTTTGTGGACATCCATAGAGCCCAATAGACGTGTTTCAACCTTGACAGCCTCGTCAGTACCCTTTTTCTTAGTCAATCCTTTGGGAGGCCCCTATTCCCCCATCATAGAGTAGGCGACGAGGTGCATTCTATACTTGTCATCAAGTGAAATAAAATACTGGATTGGCAGTGTTTTACACTCTATTGCTCTTGGCTGGTATCTTTGAAATATCATACTGCTTGTTTCTAGTGTTCTCTTCACACCACGCTCAAAATTTTATTATGTCTGATAATCATGTAACACATGTACTGAGCTCTATAAGTGCCTTTGGAGGATACATCACATGTTGGCTCAGAAAACAATTATCACATGTATTGAGATATTGAGCGTGGTCTCATAAAAACATCCGAGACGAACGGTGTGATATTTCAAAACAATCAGGCAAGAGCAACTGAGTGTAAAACACTGCCAATCTATCGATTTATTTCACTTGACCGCACGTGTGAATTGTACGTCGCCTCCTACTCTATATAGGGGATGAGGACCACAGAGAGGATTGTAAGACGAAGTGTACTGTCCAACTGATGAGGCTATCAAGGCCGAAGCAAGTGTATTCGGCTCTATGAGTGCCCATAAAATTCTGAGCTTAGTCTTAAAGAAACATTGAAACAAACAGAGACTCTTCACTTTATTACCGATTTTACAGCCGTTGGATGATTCATCATACATGTAAATGTATATCCAAGAATGATCGAAGAGAATTTTTTTTACTCACTCGCTTTCAGCGATGGTGTGATGTAATAATTATACTCAACGTTATAGAGTGATGTGCAAAACTTTCGCGTCAGCGCGGGACGCGAACCCGCACTTCTCTCTATCAGGGGGTGTACACCAACCCGTTGCATTAGCATCATCTGTTTTACCTCCACTCTTTTTACGCTACAAATCATCTATCTATCAACAAACAAGTCGTCAACGGTTTGACCTAGGTAGACGATATCGACAATGAAGCTAGTCACGCAGACAGGTATTGGGTAATGGATGATGAGATGCCCGGGATAGGGTGAGGTGTAGGTTCGAGTCCCGCTTGAAGCGATAGTTTTGCACATCACTCTACATAACTGGCTATATCTTAGAATGATCATTGGTTGGAAAGAAGAACAACGGGTATGCTCAAGGCATTAAGGCTCTGACTAATCAAATCGACCTTAAATAGCACTTTTCTCCTGCGCAGGTATCGCTATCATTCAATAAGTCGTGCTAAATTAATGCTTGCAGGTCCCTCAATAGTCACTATCGTTCTTTCCTGATAAAATTTCCATTTTGGAAATCATTTCAGCTTTGACTAGACTGAACATCGCAGTGGACACTATTAATCGTCAAATTGGACCAATTTTTTAATTGAAATTACTTTTCATTGCACTCTACAAAACGATGCAGAGAAGGGTTGATCGAATTCTTGATGCCTGCCGTAGACGCATACTAGGCTTTGTGTGACAATTTCTGCTATTGGTTCAATTTATGGAACACCAGTTTATCGTCGCTTTTTACTATTCCGCGTATTACAAAAGCGAGTCAATCTGAGTAGATGAAGATGTGTTATTCTTCAAAATCACAGCTAGTTTTTCAAGAATCAGCTTCGGTTATCTTCTTCTAATGATATCGTCGATAAGCATCAGTAGCTTGCTTCGCTTCAATGATGTGAAGATTATCTAGTAATAATTTAGTACAAGACTTTCCCAGCAATCTGTACATCTTTCGCTCAAGCATGATCCGTTTGATGTTCAGCTGACGTTTCGAGTTTCTTCGCAGCTGTTTGCCTAATTTTGATCTCATTATGTAACAAAACGATTTTTCGATAAGAGCATTACTCGAACTCTAAATATGGATAGGCCTTCGTTTTACGCTGTAGTTTAGGACTCAGAAACGTCCCTTTCCACGAATAGGTGCCAACTTATAGAAACACTATGCGGTAATCCTCATCGGGTGCCATGTTTTGATCATAATATCCAGCGTTGATTCCGAACGACGTGATACCTATTTTGTACCAATGATCACTAGCACTTCGCATCATGAGAGGTCCACCGCTGTCTCCCTGAAGTAAATGCAATAGTCACCTATTACAGAATATAATTCAAACGACTTCGCTGCTACGATGTCGATAATATCACAAGGTAACTTACTAGCTTATTTAGATACTTAGATGTCCGTCTTCACCAGCTGTGCAGACCCCAGCACAAATTCCAAATGGTATATTGCTGGTCGTGCAAATGATATTCCTTGCTTTCCTGACGTAACCCTACAATGGCTTTTTCAAGTCTTTATGATGTCGTTTCGAAGAAATTAGTTGAGGCGACGGTTCCCTTGGCCGGGTACCTACTAGTTCACTCGGAGATGGTGTTAGGCCGAAATCAAAAGAAGAGGTAGGAAAGGTACCATTCAATTTTCATAAACTTTTCGTCCTAACCGCTCTAGAACAGTGAGATAAAGAGATCAAGAAAGAAAATCATTTTGCACAGAAAGTCATCTTGCGCTCTGGCTCTACAAGAAGGAAAACTACTTGTAAAATGATTTTGCTAAGAGTAACGGCTTCAGAATGTGTTACCTGCGCCGTACCATGTCCGGAAGATCAAGCACATAATTGTATCGGAGTCAAAGCAAATCCACCACGGGTCCATTTAAATTGCTGCCATCGCTGACTACACATATGAATCATCGGAAGAAATACTGGATATCGTTTCATTTAGCTGGCGCATGAGTTGAAAGTAAAATGGAAGGACTCGTACAAATAGCGCGAATAGAGGAAAGGTAAATAAAAGTCCTTTGAAACTTCCTGGGCTATGATTGTCGACCTTGACTGCTAGAAAGAAGGAAACAAAAATGAATTAAGAAAATATTCTGTCTTATATGGAACAGAACAATCATATATGAAACATCACAACACTGCGAAGAAAGCAGTAAAAATACTAGAATTCTTGAGTATTATATCTAACAGTGGCTATCAGCTCGACTGGGTTTATAAAGCGACATCGCATACCCGACCAAGCCTGTTAGAGGTTGGTGGCTGATAGCTAACATAGAGATGTTGAAGAATGAGTGGTCGGGCAAATGTGCCTCGATGGTGTGGTGGTAGGGCACGCGTCCCTATATAGCATGAAATGCGGGTTCAATCCCCGCCTGAGGTCATACTTTTGCAAATCACTCAGTTCTCCCAGGTATTCATGAAGCGAAAAAAGCAGTGAAAATACTAGAATGCTCTTCTCAGACACAATACTAAAAAGAAATTTATTCTAGATACAATCAAAATTCATACTCACCCAAATAAGCTCTGATCAGTGAGGGAAACAACAGACTGTTGAAGATGAGCGCTCAGTACAGAGCCGATATCGCCTCCAATTAAGTATAGATAGGTTGAACTATGCACAAGTGTTGTGTTAGTTGGGTTTCTGAGACTGAAACAAAACGCCTAATCTGGACTTCTCGTAATTTTTAGCACTAGGGCGATAAGCACCAAATTTGCTAATAAGAATGTTTATTAATGTTTAACAACTTTTAAAGTATGCGTCATCAGCCTTAACACATCTCTTACAACTTGTTGATGGTCACTGCCAGATTCTCTTCAATTGCTTCCACGACGGCCTCTCGATCAACTTCAAGTGGACGTCCGGAGAGCAGCTGCTCATCCACCGTGTTGCTGCTAACTCGAAACTCAGAAAATAACCGAAAGGCTGTTTGCCTCAACACAAATCTTAAGCCTTCGCACGGTTGATGTTCTGGAAGGCGGTCTGTGCATCACGTCCAGTTCGTGCTCTTAGAGCAGCAAATTGCGATGAAGACTTCGTTGAACGGCCATGATGCAGCAGATATGGCCATATTTGGTACCAAAAGAAATCTCAGAAAGTTTTTGCGCAAAGAGTATCAATTTGCTGCCTGACAGATGGCAGAATTGTGTCCAGGCTAATGGCGTATACTTTGAATAGTGTTTCTAAGCAATTTTAATTACTTCTGTTCAATGATTTTGGTGTATGTTGCTTTAGTGCCAAAACTTCTAAGACGGTCTAATACTTTTGCACAAAAGCACTTACTATTATATGCTCCGAATCCGCTAACATACCCCGTAACCATGGTAAATACAATTAACGGCGAAGAAAGACAGATAGGCCAATGCTCTTTTGTGGATTCAACTGACTGTTTAACTAAAAAATACTATCAAACGAAAGTTGCTACAAAGGCCACTAGTAGACTACCTTGAGTTTTCAATGTCATGAAGTTACGCTGGATTATGGTCCAAGCTGGATGCGAAATTGGAATGGAGAACAGGGAGGTCGGCGTGACTCCATCTTTGCTTATGTAGAAGGAAGCATTCATGTTTTAAGTCTTCAAACAGGCCAATTTTGACCTAATTTGAGTTTTACTAAATTAAATTCGTTCACTAAAACAAAGATTTTCAACGACTATAGGCACTGTGGATAAGTGACGGAATTATAAATTCCAAAAGAGGCGGAAACGTTGAAAAGTCAGTCGAATTTATCTTTCATATGAGTCTCGGATTTTCATCTAGTTCATAAAAAAAACTATTATTGCTCAGTAATGCCGAGGATGAAAAAAAGTCGATTTTTGATATACTACTGCGCTTTGTGTTAACTTTGGATATTTTTGGAGAAAATTTAATTTTTTTGACATATTTAGACAGGTAACAACTACCCTCATCTGTCTTCAAAGTACAGCCCCAGAGTATTTTACTTATTCCAGAATCGTTAAGGGCACTAACTCCTGGAATACTAAAAATCAAATTCGGCTTTGTAGAACTTGCAATCGACATCTGCATTCACTGACGAACCCCGTTTATTGAGATTTATCACTATAACAAGTGGGATCCTCGAGGAGTAACGCGCTGTTGTTTGTGATTATAAAAACGTTATTATTGTGAACTCAAAAAATTCATGTGTTATAAACAAGGCCTTCTAGAATCCTCCTAATACTGTTTAGCACCTGCTAAAGCGTGATAAGGTCAGTGCACGCGTGAATGGAAGAAATTACACCTTCCATCATCAACAACATAACTTTAAAGATGATTTCCGCAAAGACTGTTCAAATAAAGAATAATTTTGTAAATTTAAAAGATACAGATGAACATATTCAATGGGGAGATAAGCAAAACTTTCTATCCTAAATCTCGCTTTTTTGTTCTTCATTTAGGTACTCGGTTGGAATGGATACCGACCAACATAACTCCTGTGATCATCTCCACCAAGTCACATTGTGAGACAACGCATCGTCAATATACATAGCTTTACCGTTTGTTATAGATCTTTGAAATATTTATCTTCTTCTCGATATTGAAACTTATTATATCAGGCAAACTCCGAATTGAAGTAGCAATCCACGTCGTTAGTGCAAAAATCCAAGTTTGCCTAGTTTTTAAATTTTCAAAAGCTCTCGGTGGCAACATATAAACACTCTGTTGAAATAACACCTCTCCTGCATCGTAGACGACTAAAGCCAACGTTAGAGCAGTAAGTCTTGAAAGGAGCTGTGACCACTCTAGCTTTATGGATTTCATGGAAGCCCTCAGTGATGAACTGATAGTGAACCGCTTTTTCGGCAATTCGGATCTGAGCTTTTGGAGATCTTTGAAAGCAATGTCATCACCATACACACATAGTCTGGTTTATTCGATCCCTGAAAGGTGAGTGAACACTCGATTTCCATATCATTTGAGAAGATAACTAGTACTCACATAGCATGTTAACTCGCAAAAGTGGTGGAGTGCTCGGCCAAGCGGGCGACTCGGGTCCGAATCCCGACAAATGCACTATATGGCAACGAGCTGTGATTGCCGTTGACAGCGACTAGGTTTATTGACTGATTTGAAGGATGTTACCGCTGACGGCTAGTGATGTCGAAGCCGCGATTATATTAGTTTTATTATAGAGGATAATGAGATAACCTAAAAATATGTACAATCAATACAATAATATAACACAATAACACGTAAAATCATGATTACGCTAGGCCTGAACGGTGATAATAACATAACATAAGAATGGCGCCTCAACTATCTGGAATGGCGGAGCTTGACAGGCGGCGAACATTGGGGCGCATTTATGATTGCTCCGAAAAGAACAGAACATCGGTGAGTGTGGAAGCCAGTGGGTTTCGGGAAGCTGAACCATTATGTACATGGGCTGGAACCCATCCCCCTGTGGCGGGCCAATCGTAGCGTAGACGGGGTTGGCCCAGCGCCGTTGTCGACAGACTTCATCATGCAGCTTAATTTGCTATACTTTTCCTTTTGACAGCTACCATTCTAAATGAAGGGCTTCTTGCTTTAACTGCAAGCTATGGATTTCTATTGATCTGAAAGATGCAAAATGAGCCCTTCACCAATATCAGCATGATATCTTATATTCGTCAAGAAATAATTACGAAAATATACTTATGTAGGTGAGCTGGGGATATTTTACAGCTCCTCTGTTATCAATATTGGATAATGATATTTGTGCAAAACCGCCCAGCGAAAAAATACTGTATGCGATGTGGGGACATTAATTTGTCGCTACTGAATAGGTAACTCTAGTTGAGTGGCAGGATAGCCTTTTCTTCCGAGGTCCGCGTCGAATTTCTGATAGGGGTTTTGACGCACATGCATTTTCTTGGTGCTCATTTAGAAGTACTCCAGGCGAACAAAAGCCCATGAGGGATGGAAACCCAAGATCAATAGACAAGCGACGATGTGAGTTCTTATTTATGGATCTAGACTTTTGGCCACACCAACATGCAAAGATTTCAGCTATGCTGTGATTGCGATGAACCAAAGTATATTGTGAGAAAAGTGTTAATATAATAGAATACAGCACTCATTTTACACCGTCTTGGCTAAGAAACACAGTACCATATCCACCTCTCCTAGCACTTGCTTCAATTTGCACTTTTTCTCGTCCCCTTGAATTTCGTCGTTCACCGCTGCTAAGTGATCTCTTTCCACATTCTTTTCCTTCCGTTTGAAAATTTTTGATACATTAGCCATTTTCTCAGCCGCCATATTTTCAATTCCGCAGTTTTTTTGATTTAGAGCATATTATGGCATCTGGGCACAGAAGAAATCATTCACCTGATTACATTTAGAACAAATTGAAGACAGATAGACTACTATGCTCTAAACCAACAGTTCAGGAGGGCAACAAACGCGAGAATGACCTTGAAACTAGTGATATATCATAATGAGTGATATCGGTAGCATACAGTCGACGGCTTTTATCACAATCAAGTCACGTATTTCGATGCGAACAAACCAGTTTACTTATGTCAATTCCGGTTGAATATGGCGAGTACACTCCAGTAGTTTACTGTTCGCTCACGCTTCATGGTCCTCATGGGTTGGCGATGTCTAGCTAAAAATCATTCTTCATCGTCAACGTGAAGATAGCTTAACGTTTCATCCCGTGGCTCAAGGAGAAGCAGAGATGTGCAATAACAAATCCGAACAGGTTCTTGAACTATTCTTCTCTCGAGAAAAACAATTTAGGCAGGCCACAAATATAGCGATTTGTATAGGGATCCATAAATGCTCAGCTTCGGCTTGTTGTCGTCACTTCAAAGTCGTGTTGATCAAAGACTAATTGAATGGTGTTAGCAAAGATTCATGGCACTGGTGTTATAGTTTACATTAATAATAGACACACTTCAGTTCACGAATAGCACCGCTACAATGTGAAGTGGCCTTGATGCTAATAAATGAAGAAAATTCTTCTAGACACTTATTGATTCATCTTCGCAGTGTCTTTTTTTTCACTGAGTAGATTTTAGCACTTCCAGCATTCAATTCGTTGTCTCATCTTCTCCTTGAACGTCTATGAGCGGATCTGCTTGCAATCTCGAGGATAGCTTGGCTGCAGCGTTATATAAGGTGTTGTTGTTGACTGCTGGAGAATAATGAAGAAAATACGATGAAAATTCGTTTTCTTATAAACAAATCAGTGTTGTCGTCATGAGCCACCATTCTTAAGACAATCTATATTTCGACAAATCAAAGTGAGGATGGGACTCTTCTATATTGGTTTCCACATCCTTATGGCATAACATGCACTGTTCGCTAGTTAATCATGCACCTATTGCATCAGCTTGTACGCCAACACCGAATTCTCTTTCGTAGGACTAGGCAAACATCGCCTCTGTCGCATTGG